AACAGTTCGGGTGACCTCTATCCACTTCAGCCCACTCTACCCAGCTCTCCACTGTCCGCCCTACTTACTACCTCAGCTACTACATGGCATCACCGGATGGGTCATCCCAGGGATCCTGCTTTTCAGTTTTTTAGAACAAATAAAAATATTCCTTTTACTCAATTAAATAAATTGATATGTACTTCATGTCAACTTGGCAAACACACCAAATTTCCATCTCCCCCCTCCCACTCTCATACTTATTTCCCATTTGAAATAATATACAGTGATTTATGGAATCTCATGTTCTTAGTATTACTGGTCATTGCTACTATTTAATTTTTATTGATGATTATACCAAATTCGTTTGGGTGTTTCCTTTAGCTTCAAAGTCTCAAACGTTTTCCACCTTTGTTAATTTTCATGTTTATGTTCGCACCCAATTTGAACGTAACATTAAAATTTTTCAATGTGACAATGGAAAAGAATTTGATAATTCTGCTTTTCATACATATGGCCAACAACATGGTCTTCACATCCGCTTTTCATGCCCCTATACCTCTCCCCAGAATGGCACGGTTGAACGATATATACACACTATTAATAATATTGCCAGTACTATATCACTTCATGCCTCCGTTCCCACCTCTTTCTGGCCTCATGCCGTTCAAATGGCCTCTTACTTACATAATATCCTCCCTCCCAAACCAATAGCCTTTCTCACCCTTACCCACCTACTATACTACCCACAACCCACATATGACCATCTCTGGATTTTCGGTTGTCTTTGCTTTCCTCACCATCCTTCCGTCACTATCAACAAACTTCAAGCCCGCTCTACCTCGTGTGTATTTCTTGGCTATCCCATTAACCACAAAGGTTATAAATGTCTCAATACTCACACCAGCCAAATCATAGTTTCTCGCCATGATACTTTTGACGAGAGCATTTTCCCATTTAATAGTTTACTCTCAAGTCCCAGCCATACGTACAACTTTCTCAATGATGACCCACATCCTTTATTTCGGCTCCCCATATTATCTAAAACACTATCTTCTAATCCTAATTCGGTCAGCACTGATTGCCCTACCAAATGAGTACCAATCAGCAAATAATAATCCACCAAACCAACACCAACTAATCTATTGATAGTCCAGAGCGTAAACCATCACCCCCACATCCAAATCTTATCCCTCCACATTCCCATAACCCACTGCCCCATACTGTTCATGTCCCATGCAACCCCCATGTTTCTACGTCCACTTCCCATCCCATGCAGACTAGAAGTCATGTAGGGATTGTCAAACCCAAACACATATTCAACTTATCTACATCTATCACACCTTCTCCATTCTATCCCCATTCACCTATTATTGCCTTACAAGGATCAAATTGGAAGGCCGCCATGGATGATGAGTTTAGTGCCTTAATTAAGAATGAGACATGGGAGTTAGTTCCCCGCCCACGGAACGCCAATATTATATGATGTATGTGGTTGTTTAAACATAAATACAGGTCTAACGGTGTATTGGAACAGCACAAACCTCGACTCGCCGTTAATGGTAATTCTCAACAAATTGGGGTCGATTGTGATGAGACTTTCAGTCCGGTTGTTAAATCGGCTACCATTCGTCTGGTTCTCAGCATTGCTCTTTTTCATTCTTGGCCTCTTCATCAGCTCGACGTCAAGAATGCTTTTCTGCACGGTCAATTGGAAGAAACTGTATTCATGCATCAACCACCGGGTTATCGTGATCACACCCGCCCAACTCATGTTTGCCGCCTCTTGAAGTCCCTATATGGTCTTAAACAAGCTTCTCGGGCTTGGTACCACCGGTTTGCCTCTCACCTCGCTACATTTGGGTTCACTCAAAGTCAGTGTGACCATTCTTTATTCATTTATCATAAGGGACACCACGCAACATATATCATACTTTATGCGGACGATATAATTCTCACTGCATTGTCCGATGCTTTCCGCCAATCTATCATTTCTAAACTAGTTGCTGAATTTTCCATGATGGATCCTGGACCCTTAACTTATTTCTTGGGTATTTCGGTCAAACGACACTCATTGGGACTCTTTTTATCTCAAACTACCTACGTCTGTGATATACTTCGTCTTGCCGGTATGACGGATTGCAAGCGAGTAAGCACTCCAGTTGATTCTCACTCCAAGCTAAATGCTTCTGCAGGACCTCCAGTTGCTAATCCTACCTTGTATCGGAGTCTCGCCGGCGCACTACAATACCTCACTTTTACGCGGCCCGACATCTCTTATGCAGTTCAACAACTTTGCATATTCATGCACGACCCACGGGAACCACACTTCCATGCACTTAAATGGGTGCTTCTCTATATTCAAGGCACATTGCAGTTTGGTCTTCATCTCCGCCCGTCATGTCTCATGGACTTAGTCTCTTACACAGATGCTAACTGGGGTGGTTGTCCCGACACTCGACGCTCCACTTCTGGTTATTGTGTCTTTTTGGGGGATACTCTCATTTCTTGGTCCTCAAAATGGCAACCTACCCTCTTTCGTTCTAGTGCTGAAGCTGAATATCGCGGCGTGGTTAATGTAGTGGCAGAAACATGTTGACTTTGCAATTTATTACTTGAGCTACGGCGTCCTCTTCACAAAGCTACTATTGTCTGCTGTGACAATATTAGTTCCGTGTATATGGCCGAAAACCCTGTTTAGCACCAGCGCACTTAACATATTGAAATGAATATTCATTTCGTCTGGGAAAAAGTTGCTCGTGGTGAAGTTCGTGTTCATCATATTCTGTCCCGCCATCAATATGCCGATATTTTCACAAAAGGTCTACCTTGTATATTGTTTGATGAATTTCAGTCCAGTCTCAACGTTCGTGGGCCTCCCTGCTTTGACTGCAGGGGTGTGTTATCCGTTATTCCCATGCAGGCCGTATTACTCTCACACGACATTATCATTCCATTATTATATTATAATTACTTGTATTTAATTATATTAGTCATGTATATCTCCCAGGTTGTTACCGATGCATGTGTTATGCGATGCACGGCTGCACCAACTGTAAATGTACCTAGACTAGTTTATTGTTTATATTTTCCCCAACCCTACGTAACAAGATAACGGAGCATAGCAGGATAGGAATTCCATATGTTTGTATCACTCTTGTGCGTATCCTATTTATAGGAACACTCAATAATACATTCGACAAGGTGAATTTCATATTCCAACTGTTCGTGGTGCACTGCACTCATTTGATGTATTCATATTGGAATGGGAGGAGGGGTGAACCATTGAGGTGCTCCTTTAATTTACTCATACAAAAAAATAAAAATAAAAATATAACTAAAGAAGAGGTGATACATGTGATTTAGGTTCCATTTTGGGAATATGGGTGTAACTATAAGGCATTCATGAGAATGCCTTGTAGTTATCTTTAGTTTTGTCCCATTCTTCAGGAATTTGTTGAATTATATGTGTTTGCTTGATAAAGTAAATCCTTGAAAAGTACCTGCAATTTATGTTTGGTAATAAATAATTTTCTCAATAAAATCGTTACCAATTGTTAAAAAAAAAATGTAACAGTATGCATTTAAAAACTTAATATAGTTTATGTTTAAAAAGACCAAGTGGTATGAGTTTGAGTTTATTGTTTGCTTGATTGGCTTTACATGTGTTATAGGTGGGCGATTTGCAAGATAATGCCAAAAGAAAGAATTATAAAACTTGGACCATAGAAGAGAGTGATGTATTGCTTAAGCTAATGGTTGAAAGTGCCAAACTTGACTTTCATGATACGAATGGTGTGATAACTAAACAAATGATAGAGACCGGACTCCTTTCAAAACTTAAGGAAAAACTCAATTATGAAATTAGTTTTAATCATTACGAAAGTAGAGTGAAATGGTTTAAAAAACAATACCCCAATTACTCTCGGCCTATTCGTCACAACTATGGATTTGAATGGGATAGACCACAAAGAAACTCACAGCTCCAGAAAAAGTAGGGTTGACTACCTAGAGGTGATTATCTTTTTTATTTATTCATTTGTGTGTCTATTTTATAACATTATAGTCACAAATTTTATATATTTTATATATCAGTCACATCCAAAACATGCACACCTTTGATCAGATGCTTTTCCGAACTATAAGATTTGAGAATCGCATTGGGGAATGGAACTGCAACTGAGATGGGTGCAATGGTCTCAGTAAAAATACAGATGCTACAGTGTTAGGAATAGATCACGAATCTGGTGGAATTGATGGCATTGATGGATTTTTTTTTATCCAAATACTAAGACGTTCACACCAAGTGAAAATACGTCATCCCACTAGGAGGACTTATCATATCTTCCGCATAATGCCAAAAAGAATATAGAGGATCCACCTTCATCAGGCAAAGAAGCTAACGGAAAAAAGGGCAGAAATGATTTTGAGAATAATAGAATAACAAAAGAGCCTAATATGCCACCGATCCAAAAAAAAATCCATGTTCAGAAGACATCTTAAAAAGAAGTCTGTTTTTCTTTGGTATTAAGCAAATCAAGAGCTCTAAAGCAAATCCTCATCGACTAATCCTAGGATCTCCTTCACAACAACCAAAAGATCACTCTCTTTGATCATCTCTTCTCCATTAAATAATAAATTTTATCAAAACTCTTAAAATTGATTTATATAAAAGTATGCGGATTTATAAAAAGTCCTTTTTTATCGTATTTATAAAAAGTCCTTATAAATCAATAGAAATTCATAGATGTTTAAAAAATCATTCACTTTTTTATCATTAAAAAATCATTCACTTAAAAATCACTTATATTAAAAGTCTGATTTTTTTAAAAAATTCATAAAAAAGGTTCATCACATCACATATACGGAATACAAAACATCCCTTCAAAATCCATAATAATCACACCATTTTCTTTAATAGACATTCTATACTTTTGTCAAAAAAAATAGACATTCTATACTTTTGTCAAAAAAAAAAAGGCATTACATGCTTTTCTTTCTCTAATTAGAAATAACACCCGACTAATGGTCAGGACTTCACCCGTCAAAATTAAAAAAAGACAGCAAAATTTTGCCCAGAAAACATCCTAAGGATAACTTCCTTTTCAAACAACAATAGATATCGTACCTTAATTCCTCTGCAGTTCCACACTTGAAATTTCAAATTCATTATTCCAAACATTTGATCTGTCTGTTCGGAATTTCGCTGAACATTTTTCTTGCAGAGAATCCATATCCAATTCTCGAGAATGTCTTTGCGCCCAGGTACCCGAACTGACGCACGGAAGAAGTCGTACAAGATCGGAGTGGATGGCGATGAAGCGCGGCGGCGCAGGGAGGACAACCTGGTCGAGATCAGGAAGAGTAAGCGCGAGGATAACCTTCTCAAGAAGCGTCGCGAGGGTCTCGTTTCATCCCAGCATGCTCTTGATGCTACTCAAAACCCAGCTTCTGTTGAGAGACGGGTACTGTTATATACATTGTAATCATCATATTAAAATTCACTACAGAAATATGGTGATGTTTTATTCCTGAATGCTCAAACTTCTTCCGTGGTGGAATTTAGGAAAATGATTTATTCTGACATCATCACGTGTTATTGTTTAATTTCATGGTTTATGATATAATTTGCTGTTAACTACGGGGAAGTAGATTTTTTTAGTATCTGTTGTGGACCTCGTGGTTATAGAATTCTATATAGTTAAGAATATGAAGAATGTTTTTTTGCTTGGTCAGCTGAACTAGTTGCTGCTGATGTGATCCTTATTTTTGCCGCATTAGTTAGATCAACTCCACAGGCTCCTCTATTTTTAGGTCGTTTATATTTCCTTGATGAATTGGGAGAAAGAAGTAATTAGCGCAACTGTGTAAGCATTCTTTTGAACGCAAGCTAGGTCTAGTCATTGATGACGAAATGCTCTAATCTTTAATTGTCCAATGCTCACATATATTGGCATAGCCTGGCCTCCCAAAAATCTGAGTGAAGCTGTGAAGGTGGGCCAAAAAATATTTCCGACTTGTAATTTTTTACAGTAAAATTTGTACTCATTAAACATAGTTTCCATTGAACTAGAGATGCGCCAATGCTTGTGTCTCTCCTATCTACTTCCATGCTTAGCCATAAAATACTAGTGTTATGATGTAACAAGAATTCATGAATTTTGTAAATCGCATCAGTTTTTCTTCATGTGTCTCTCAATGATGTTGGAGAGTCCAAGTCTAGCTTTTATTTTCATTTCATTTCCAACACATTTGTGTTCATAAATATAATACTTTATGCCATATATGGTGGTTGAACTCAAAGATGACCAAACTTGTCATACTCTAGAGTGCACGTTCTAATTTTAATTACATCCCTTGGTAAGGGTTATATATAGACGTGTACTAAAGAGTAAGATATATATATATATATATTATTTTACGTAGTATATATATATAATACAATTATATATATGTATAATTGTATATATGTGTGTGTGTATTGATGTGTACTAGAGACTAAGATATAGAAGATGTAGACTCTAGGGAGAGAGAATTTCTTGTAAATGAGGTTAGTTTATTTTCCACCGGACACGTGAAGGGGTATATATAGATAATACAAATGAGGGCATAGACCATTGCTCTATTACAAATAAATGAAGGCAAGTAGGTGTTCCCGCAATACTTGAAAAATTGGTCGAAAAAGCTTATCAGCCTTTGTTACGATCCCACACCGGTCAAGTATGGGCTTAGCCGGTGGATTATAAGCAAGGTGTCCCCTCCTTCTAATCGGCTGGTCTTTTAGGAGTGAGTTCTACACCTGGGCTTATGGCACTGCTATGGGCCTAGTATGGGCTGAGTTCGGAACAATTGGTATCAGAGTCATCCCCATATTCTTAGTCCTGACACTCGGAGTGGTGGCCTATGGAGTGGTGGCTTGGGCCCTGGGGGTGCCAACCGTGACCAACATAGCCGTGACCAACGAGGACGTTGGCTCTTCGAAGCGTGGGGTATTGTTACGATCCCACACCGGTCAAGTATGGGTTTGGCCGGTGGCTTATAAGCAAGGTGTCCCCTCCTCCTAATCGGCTGGTCTTTTAGGAGTGAGTTCTACACCTGGGCTTATGGCACTGCTATGTGCCTAATATGGGTTGGGTCCATAACAGCCTTTGACTCACTTTAATGAAAGACTTCTTAAAAATTGTGCAATAGCTTGACTACTTCCTTGAGCTGACTAAAGGCCATCCAGGTGGCTGTGCTAGTCCAAGCGTCCAATGGAGGCCCAAGGCAGGTTTAGCCAAGACGACCAGCTCAAACACCAGTATTCAATCCAAAGACGCAAGGTCTAGTGGTTTACCCAAAGGCTAACTATGGTAGATCCGCGAGAACAGTCTCGTGCATACCATATACTCTTTCCACCCATTAATTGACGTTTTAGAAAAAAATTAATATTAATATATTAAGAAAAAAGATTATATTGAAAACTATGAAAGGTTCATTACTAAATGTGTTCCAGTTCTTTTTAGGGCATGCAAATTATTTATAGGGAAAATTACCTAAATAAGAGTAAATGAAAGTTAAATTACAAGAATTGGAGTACAAGTTTCAAATTTCCAAAATAAGAGTAAATACTACTCTATATTTCTATTCTCATCTTGCCATATTTTAATAAGAAAATCATTTTGTTATTTATAATAAAAACATAAAAATAAAAAATGTCATCCTCTGCCGCCTTCCTGGCATGTTTAAACTTTAAAGAAGCTTTTGTCTCTTCGAGACAACGAAGAGACAACCCTCTCTCTATCTCAGTCTTGATTTAGCATCATAGATCGAGCTAGAGAAAGTTATGATTGGTTGTAGCGCGGTTTAAGGAGCAGCTTCTCTAGGGGGCAGACACCGCCTGATCGTGGCAGAAGCGGGGGCACTGAAACTATCTGCACCAAGTGCTTCGATTGAAAGAGGAATGCGTCACACTAAAATGCCAGCAAATGAAGCTGTCGCGGGGGCAGAAGGCAGTTTGTGTGAGTAATAATATTTAATTCCTATATCGGTGAATCCAGAACATGAGAACAGGGAGAACAGCAAACAGTGAGAACAGTGTTGATGCCCACGGGTTTGTTCCAATTTTGGAGCATGAGGAAGACATGATACGGAGGAGAAGGGGGGGATAAGGAGAGGGTAAAATGATATAGGGTCCTATTTAGGGAATAGAAAAGTAGATACTTCTATTTTGGAATTTGAGCAATGTTTTACTCCTATTTCGAGCAATTTCCCTAATTTGTATAAAAAAGGAAAATATTAGTAATTAAGCAAATGTGAGATGTTAATACAAAATTTGCATTGAGTTCCTAAAAGAATTGGCTTAACCGATAATTAATTCGGGAACAGGTTATATATGTACACACACACATAAGAAAGAAGTTTATGGGAGCATAAAGGTGTCACCTAAGTGTGCCATGTCCTATACTTTTGGTACATCAGAAAGGAGCATGTCAAAATTTAATATATCATAATTAGGATAGTATTCCGAATTTAATATTTAGGAAAATAGAGTATAAGTAACTAGGTATATATAATGACTAAGAAAGTAGATTTGCTTAATTAGGTATATATACTGTTTAGGAAAATAAAGTTTTAGTTAATTAGGTATATACAAAGTACAATGTTATAAGAAATTAAAAGTACTTCGAGTAAATTTGAGTTAATCATACTATCAGTCAAATACTCATATTCCAATATGTATGTGTGTGTGTGTCTACGTACTCGTAACTCTTTCGGTCCATGTCTATAAGTCTATTTTATTTCGTGTTCAGGTAAATAGAGTTTGGGTACATAAGTATGTATAATGTTTAGGAAAATAAAGTTGTAGTTTGATAAGTAGATTTGAACTAACCATTGTACTTAGTAGTTTTTCTTTTAGGCTTTCAAAATTTTGTGCACAACTATAGGAAATTTAACATTTATTCTCATACATTACCATAGTATCCTGCTGTTAATTTTTGTGACGTAATCTTTCTTTGAGTTAATTTTTGTGACGTGATCTTTCTTTGAATGGTTGATTAGGTTTTTCTAGCGTAAATTATTACTGTTGATGGACCATATATACGTGTCTGTGTAACTAATATAGACTAAATCCAACGGAGCTTTTTTGTCACATGGAAATCAATTTTTGATTATTATTATTTTTGTCTGGACAATGAGTAATACAACTTACTCGTAAGGTTTACGCTTGATGAATAACTGGAGCTCGAAGTAGGCAGTTGCAATTACCATAACCATTAACAATGAACATGAAGATATTACCCTTTATATGGAGGGAAACTAATACCTCATAAATTTTGCTCTAGACAGGAATTGACTCCATGATTTTTCTTTAAAATTTTAAAAGCAGCACCTCCCGTTACTAAACTCTGTGTAGAAAATCTATGCAAGTGTAAGTCAAGGCGCTTGCTCTTTCCCAACAATGAAATGGTGTAATTCACAATTTATATCAGTCATTAACTTTAGAAAGAATTTTAGGTTATCAAAACTGTGGTTCTACCATACTCTGTTCTATCTGAGGCACGCATCGGGCCTTTATAATGGAGAGCAGTTTCTATATCTTTCTAGCTTGAATTCGAATCAAGATAATAACGATTACTGTTTAATTTCTATCTTATACAGTATTACTCTAATGGTTAGCTTGGTTGCGATTTTAATTTGAGTGCTAGTTCAATTTCTCTCATATGGAAATATTTATCTTACATGCAATATTTCTAATTTTAAGATGCATAATCCTAATATTTTATGTCGCCTATCAGCTTGAAAGCATTCCATCGATGGTCCAAGGGGTTTGGTCAGAGGATCCATCTGCACAAATTGAAGCTACTACACAATTCAGAAAGCTGCTGTCAATTGGTATTTTGTGTGACAATGGTTTTTCCCCCAAGTAATTTCCCTATCTGAATGATCTGTTCTCTTACATTATTTGTAGAGCGCAGCCCTCCAATTGATGAGGTGATTAAAGCAGGAGTTGTCCCAAGCTTTGTACATTTTCTTGAAAGGAGTGACTTACCCCAATTGCAAGTGTGTATTAGTTTGTATAGTCTATATTTATTTGTCCTTTGGAATTCAAATTCCTTTTATTGAGGAATTATCTTTAGTCAACCTGTTGTTTACCATCTATTTTGGCAGTTTGAAGCTGCTTGGGCATTGACAAATGTCGCATCTGGGACATCAGAACATACAAGGGTTGTCATTGAACAGGGTGCTGTTCCTAAGTTTATACAGCTTTTAAATTCACCCAATGATGATGTTCGTGAGCAGGTAGTAATATTAATCTTATAATGCATTTATTATTTGTTTGATACTGGACAAATGGATTTGATGTCTTCTTGATATATGCTGTTTCTACTCAAACCCCTCACCTGTTGGTAAATTGGAAGTGTTCTCTATAGTACACTTTTATGCAGAAAGCATTTAAAAATCAGTCAACCACAAACAATTTTACTTTTAAATAAAATTAATGTACGTAGTCAGAGCTAAGTGTTTTTCTTGGAACATTCTTATGTATTTTTTCTGCAGGTGGAAAACGCTCTAATTGTCCAAAAAATTATAAAACTGAAATCCAGTCTTTATTCTCTATATTTTGACTCGATTTTCATTATGGGTCATTCGGAAACAGCCTCCTTGTACTTTAGTACAGGGGTAAGGCTGCGTACATCCGACCCCCCCTTACCCCACCGTAGGTGGGAGCCTTTGTGGCACTGGGGTAATGATGATGATTCTCTATATTGGGAATGTTTATATAACTTCCATTTTTCCCAATTGTGATCCATTTTTAAAAGTGTGGGTAAATAATACTCATTAGTAAGCACTGTTCACAGTTTCACACCTTAAGCATACCTCCACCAGCCATATGAAATGAGTACATCATTTGTTCGTATTTGCTCTCCTTTTATTGGCACAGATGATGTTGTGATGTCTCTGGTGGTGTATGATGTTCTCCGACCTTACAGGTGGCAATGAAGCCCTGTGATAATCTCTGATGCTTGTGTGGGGAGCGGTGGACCTTCTCTTTGTTTCTTTCAAACTCTCTGCTATTTGACTGCATTTCTGTATAAATAGTGAGGATACAAGGTTTAAAAAGGACGACCTATTTCCCCTTTAGCAAATTTTTCAAACAGATAAATTTAGACATTTAATAAAGGAAACAAAAGTAGGAAACAGAAGGGTGAAATTAAAAAATTCAATACTACTATACTAGACAAGCGCATATATTTCTTTGTGTGTGTCTGTATACACATAAACATATATGTGTGTATGCTGTGTGCACGCATTTATTTATTTATGTGCTTTCTATATTATAAACAGGCTGTCTGGGCTTTGGGCAATGTTGCTGGTGATTCCCCAACCTGTAGGGATCTGGTTCTTGGTCATGGTGCACTCTTACCATTGCTAGGTCAGTTAAATGAGCATTCAAAGCTTTCTATGTTGAGAAATGCTACATGGACTTTGTCAAACTTCTGTCGAGGCAAGCCACCAACCCCATTCGACCTGGTATGAAGAGATGATTTACACAATCTAATACGGAGTAATATGTTATCTACAGTAGTACCATTTATATTTGTTTCATATTTGGAACCATTCAGGTCAAAGCTGCATTGCCAGTTCTTCAGCAACTAATCCATATGAATGATGAAGAAGTTTTGACAGATGCTTGTTGGGCACTTTCGTATCTATCGGATGGACCAAATGATAAGATTCAAGCAGTAATTGAGGCAGGTGTATGTCCACGGCTGGTAGAGCTTCTGCTGTACGTTTCAGTTACCTTTACATTTATGTTTTTTATTATCTTTCTTCCATTTCAGGCGCTCCCATTTTTTCCATTTTCCCCTTACTCCCCATTAATCACCTCCAAAGAAGAAAAGATAACCACATTAGTTTTTTTAAAATTCAGGTCAATGTAATGATGCAGATTTTTTGTTTGTATTTATATTTTGATTCTTTTCTATTTTCTAGTAAATCCTCATGGAGTCTGGTGATAACTTATTTTGACTCCTCATGGCAATCATTAGTCAATGGTTACTCAATTTCATGTTCAAATTGATTTATACTCTTTGACTATATATTTTAAAATCATGCTGTCTTTGTGTTTTTTTATCTAGTTTGTAATTGACAGCAAAGTGCTCCCATGTCTGTATCAACTTCTTACTTAAGATTACAAGAACTGCATCAAGAATAAGGAGTCTTAATACTTTTCTATTTTGATTCTTTTCTACTTACTAGTAAATCCTTCTAGAGTCGGGTGATAACTTTTTTTTACTCATGTCTATCTAGTCACCCATCAGCTACAGTTCTGATACCTGCTCTTAGAACGGTTGGGAATATTGTAACCGGTGATGATGTTCAAACACAGGTATCGGAGTCTTACTTTTCTCCAATTTTCATTATGATTGGTTTCTGTTTATAGCATGTGTAAGATGGAACATGAAATTAATATGGTTGTTATCTCTTAAATTACTGCTTTTTCATAGGAAATTTATGCTACTATAAACATTTGTAAATGTGGGATTTTTCACATCATTGGTCAATGGTTACTCAATTTTATGTATGAATTGTTATACATTCTTTGACTTTATTTATCTTTTTTAATCATGCGTCATTTATTTTTTATTTTTTGTAGTTTGTAATTGACAACCAAGTGCTCCCGTGTCTGTATCAACTTCTTACTCAAAATCACAAGAAAAGCATCAAGAAAGAAGCTTGTTGGACAATATCTAATATCACTGCTGGAAATAGAGATCAAATACAGGTATTTGCTTGTCTGATTTTCTGTGTCCATTTTTATCATATTCAACGTTGCATTGCAAGTTTGCTTTTTAATATGTTGGGATGCCAAGAACTTCATCATTTGAGCCTTGTTTATGTTCAACTTATCTACTATACCAAGTAAATCAGCTTGGTTGCATTTTCTCAAGCACGATCTTTCAAAGTGAGTATGTAAACCTAGGCACTTAATATACTTAACCAAGTTAGGCGTAGCGTGATTTGCGTGGATATGAGTAGTACTATCTTTAACTAAGGCACACCACGGGTTAGGTTTGGTCATTTGGGTTAGGCTGGAAAGGCAGTCACCAACTAAACCCTAGCAAGAAGACATTCTTCAATGAAACAAAATAAATGATTCAATGATTTACTTACTGTGGCAGCTTTAATGATTTACTTATTGTCTGACAGCTCCAGTAAATAAAATGCTATCATGGAGACACAACAGCAGACAGAACTCACAAAAGTAATAATCTAATAGATGCTTCAGATCTCCTAAAAATGGAAAAACTTAGTTGTAGTCAAATGAATTTAATTTTCTATAATACTACAAACAAATAGCACGAAAGGAAAGAAGTCAAGAACTACACAGTTGCTTTCCCCAGCTTGCCAATGGCGAATGGTTGCTTGGATCAATGCCCTAGTGCTTCAAGAAGTTGGCAATTGGACGATTCGGACATTCGGTGAGGAGATGTTTGAGCGGGTGGCTTCTACTACAGATCTTCTCCATTAGGCTTTTGCCAAAAGCCCAAAAAAGAATAGAGAAAGAGGTAAGAAGATTGGAGAGATGAATCTGAGAGCTTGTGGCTTCTACTACAGATCTGCTCCATTAGGCGTTGCATAAATCTGAGAGCTGCGACCTAGAGAGATGAAGAAATCTGTGTTTACCATCTCCTTTAAAACCATAGTACTTAAAGAGATGGGAGCTTGGAGAAGAAGGCTCCTTAAAGGTTACTTCAAATAATTGGTTGCTGGGGCCTGGGGTTGGGGTTATATAGGAGAAAGATTCTTCTGAGAAAATGGTCCCTTGTTTGTACTCACTTTCAACTGATGATGAAGAAAAAGAAAGAGAGAGAAGATTGTAGGAGTGATGTGTGAGAAATTGAAGTGGGAATCACAATACCTTATACTCCCTCTTAGGATGTTTTTACTTGGACTGTAATTTGTCCCAGACCAGACCAGACTTGGATAGTTATAAAAATACAAAGAAACCAGACCTTACCAGACCAGACCAGTCCAGACCAGATCAGACCAGACCAGACCAGACCAGCAAATTACAGTCCAAGTAAAAACATCCTTAAGCCTTTTACCTCCATTCTTTTTCCATCCATCCCAAAATGATTTGCTTTTTCATTTTTACAAAGCATTTGTATTTGATATTGTTTCTCTCTCCTCTAAACACATTTCAAGTTTCAACCACACAGTTTTCACTTTCTTAAAAACTGTGCCGAGTCAAGAGGTTTAATTAGGAATGGAGGTAGTATTTAGGATCCTTTTTGGGTTTTGAAATCTGAAGTGAAACAAAACTATACTTGAAACACAAAAATATGTATCCCATCTGCTCAGTTCTCGAAGAATAGTGGATTGAGGGTTCAGGAAGGTCCAAGGTCATGTCTAACGACACCAGCTGAGAGGAGCCTGCTACAGGATTTGGAGGCGATGGGGCAGGATTTGGAGGCGATGGGGCAGGATTTGGAGGCGATGGGGCAGGATTGAGGGGTTTTGGCTCCTGCAGTCCAGCTGTTACCCATTATTTAGACACTCAATCTTAACTCTTCAATATGATTAATCTATAGTCCGTACTTCTAATGTTTCAATATAAACTTTACTTTTTTCTCTTTCCTATCTTTCTTAGCAATCTCACAATAAAAATTCACCTTTCCTTTTAAGGAATAATTAAATTGTGTGGCTGTGATTTTTCTTTCCTTTTCAAAGAAATCTCAACCACACAATTTAACTTTCTTAATAAGCGTGTCAAACCCAAATACGAACTTTATTTCGAGACGGAAAATCAAAATAGTATATAGATCATGTACCCAAGTATCCAAGTACCAACCACGTCTGTGATACACGAGCAGACATAAACTTTCAGCTATAGATGTTGAGTTTGTCTTTAATTGTCACCTTTTAAACATATCACCATCACCCAAGCATTGGGATTAGTGTCATAAAATTTACTGCGGTGTTATAAAATTTTACTGACCAATATAATGGCAAACGGACAAATGAATCATGATATCAGTTAGTATAAGGACTATGGAATACTTGAAACCAATTTACTGACATTACACTTTGAATAACAGTTTATCTGCTTCAAATATTTGCTGTTTTTCCCTTATAAGACTTTTTGGCAATTTCATCATAGGTTTATTTTGTGGTGCTGATCTTTTAACAGGCAGTTATTGAGGCATCTATCATTGTTCCTTTGGTACACCTCCTACAAAATGCAGAATTTGACATCAAGAAAGAGGCTGCATGGGCTATCTCTAATGCCACCTCTGGAGGCTCTCATGATCAAATTAGGTATCACTGCTTGACTGCTTGTAGTTAAAGTTCACATCTTGCTCTTGAGTCTGGACTCTACCATGTCCATTCAGACCATCTTTGTGCGAACTAGTATTTGTTAGGTTCATATGGCATCCTTATACATTAATCTTAATCCAGTACACCAGTCCCATCTCACTCCCTTGTGAAGCTGTCCAGTTTCCACAGTTCTTTCACTTAAATGTGTTCTAATTGCAATGGCTTTTCTCGGTTTCTCCTCATGCGCTTCTTAATATTTGCAGTATTCTATTACACCTAAGTTCGTGCATTGTTTTTTTATGTGTGGGTTTGCATAAAAATGGTTAATTTTTATGAGCTGGCAAGCATATGATTCTGGAACTTGTACTTTTCATACAGGTTCCTGGCAAGTAACGGCTGCATTAAGCCGCTCTGTGATCTCTTGTTATGTCCAGATCCAAGAATTGTTACTGTGTGCCTTGAAGGGCTGGAGAACATTTTGAAGGTAGGCGAGGCGGACAAAGAAATGGGATTGAACGGTGGCGTCAATTTATATGCACAGATGGTTGACGAATGTGAAGGACTAGACAAAATTGAGAATCTCCAAACTCATGACAACAATGAGATATATGAAAAGGCTGTGAAAATCTTAGAGAAATACTGGGCTGAGGAAGATGGTGATGAACAACAGCATAACCTTCCTGATGGTGGTGATGCAAATCAGCAGCATGGCTTTAGCTTTGGGAACAACCAACCTAATGTTCCTGCAGGCGGTTTTAAATTTGGGTAGGAGAAATTGCTTGCCTATTTTCTTTGTTTTTTTTTTTATAATATGGCATATAGGCTCTTACTTTTTTTTTAATTCTCTGGGAGAATGTCATCCTTTCGATTTGTCTTTATAACTTGTAACTCGAGAACCAATGGATGATGTCTAGGATTTGATAGTGTCAAATCATTATACTGTAATGTGTTTCCTGTTATTAACATATATACGTATACATGTTAATGTGTTTACAAGCGTAAACGGAAAAAAATCGATCTCCTTTGAACGAATGCTACTGCCTGATGTTCTGGACTTCTAGTTGAAGTTGTTGCTTTATTTCAAGGAGTCGGCTGCAACCCGCATGTAACACACCCTGTCATTGTGGCGAAGCATCATTATATGGGGCCTATGGGCAGAGCCCAGGGGCTAATTGTTTGTACCATTTAGGAGGCTTAATCAATTCATACTTTACAAATTTCATCAACCCCATACAAGTGACTGTTTCTGATTTTAGGCAGGTCGGTTCTGCTCCCAGTTAATAATGAAATTCTTAGGTCAGTTCTGCTCCCAGTTAATAATGAAATTCTTAAGTTAAACAGGCTAAAGGCAGTAAGCTTCTGGTCCGGTTAGAACCTACACTTCCTTTCTGTGCTCCCTTTTTGAAGTTTTAAAAAACTGGCAAATGGACCAACTAGTTCATGCCTGTTTAGTAGAAACTGTATTCTGACTAGGAATTAGTGGGGTACAGGTGCTGGTTCTGATTACAGAATGTCAATGTGATTTTTGGTTAAACCCGGAGTTCCAATCTTCTTTTGAACTGAAATTTGGCCCATGTCCAGATGACTTTCCTTGATCAAATAGTGCTTGGTGAATAGGAAGGTATATCCATTTTTTTTAAATGTTTCCTTTTCAATTACTGTCGTTAATAGTTGTGAACTCATTTTCATATTTACAGTTTAAACTTGATTAGAGAAATGTATGGGAATATGAATAAAACAATGTAAAATTGGAATATAATGTACAATGTGTATGTACATTATATGTATATTTATGTGCTTTACTTCAAATTCATTATACAAATATGTATGGAGTATATGTATGTAATGTACTCTGTTCTAAACCTTTTTCCGCTTTCGTTCTTTTAATGAATGAATTGTATAAAACATCAACTATACAACCTAATTGTTTAAAAATAGTATAGAAAATAAATGGCAAGATTACTATTAGTATCAATTAAAGTAAAAAAACCATATTAGTATGGTACGATCGTTGTACGAACCATATCAACTAAAGTATTGTACGATCGTTATGACACTATTAGTATCAACTAAAGTAAAAAAAACAATCAAAGAGTTTTTAATGTAACAGTAAGTCAATAACAATTCGAATTAGGAACAGTGATTTCATAAATAGCAATGCAAATATAATACAATTTGACGTTCAACATAATAGGCGAAGTGCTCCAAAGGTGTGTTTGTATCTTTACATTTGGATGGTATAGAATGTCTCAACATTCCAATTAGGTGGTGGCCAATTGGAATAGTTCAATCTACAAACTCATATTCAATTTATGGGACTTAGCCGGGCCAATTTTTTTGTTTAAATGTGATGGGCCGTGATACCTTATGAGAGCCAATCAGCTTGTGATGCAACTTTGATTTCATATCAAAAGTTCAACTAACAACGGTATTAGTTTAAGATCTTAGCTTCTTTTAAGGAAGATCTTCACTAATATCCACCATTTCTAATGGGGCCAAAGACTCTGTTTTCTGGATTGAGAATATGATGTAATAAAGCAAAACGATTCACTAAATTGTTTGCGCTTCTTTGTTATGAAGCAACTATAGTAGTCAACTAGTCATGGCACACAACGACCATGGTGCGGAGGTAATTTCACGCGGCGATGGCGCAAGCATGGTGCACTAGTAAAACACATAAAAAAAGTTTAAACATAACATATAGACGATATACGTGTATGACTTAACCACCAATTAAAGAGTTAAATTGTTAAATAACCAAAATGGTACCAAAAGTGATCCAAATCAAACCAACTTAATATCCATAACTAGTTCATGTCTTAAAAAACTGAATTTAAAGTTTGATCTTTAAGATCTGTTGACTAATACTCATAGTCATCCCCCTCTTTGTTCACATCTAGCCATCGCACTCATCTTCCTCGTCTGACTCCGATAAGAAAGGAACTTCTTCCTCATTCATTTCAATATCAGAAGGATCTTGTATTGTATTCATCTCATCTTCATCAATGCTCTAGTGTTGTGAGTTGTTTCATCCCAATTTTTCTTCCACAACATCCCAATTTGCAATAAAGTGAGGTTGTGACGATGGCGCCATGGCGGTCTTATGGCAACGCTATGTGTATCCCCTGCGGCCTGCGCAATAGCCATGTATAGTCGCGATGACACCCTGAATCGCCAATGGCGAGAAATGGCGATCGCCATTTGCGACATCGACTACTATGGAAACAATATTCTCTCCATGCATTTTTTGAGGCAATTTTGATCATGGGTCATCCGCTCTTTGTGCTTTATTAAAGAGGTTAGGTTGCGTACATACGACTCCTCTTACCCCACCGTAGGTGGGAGGGAGCCTTTGTAGCACTGAGGTAGTGTTGTTGTTGAAGGAAGACCTTAGCTTATATAATTATATTTTGCATGTGTGGGATGACTTCACAAAATGAAATATGAGAACTCTGAGATCTTACCAGTCTCCATATTGTGTAAACCGATTTCAATTATCCCGATATTTGTGAACTGAACCTTGAGTTACCTCCAGCAACGAAATCACATATTTCACTCCTTACCTCAACCCAACTCCTTCCCACTTCTTTCTTGTTTGACAAGTTTCTCATCATGTTCCTCATCTTCACATAATCTTTCCACTTACCATTGGCTGCATAAATCTTTGAGAGCATCAAATAAGTCCCTGCAATTTTTGGATTCAAACAAAGCACTTTCTTTACTGCCAAGGTGCCCAAATCCGGAAGCTTATGAGCAAGACATGCTCCAAGATATGCTCCCCAGACTGACTCGTCCGCGGCAAATGGCATTTTTTCTATAAGCTCATAAGCTTCCTTAACTCTTCCAGCACGCCCTAACAGGTCTACAACACAGCCATAGGTTTCCTGATCAGGGACAACTTTATAATCGTCAACCATTGAGTTAAAATACTCTAATCCTTCATCCACAAACCCGGCATGACTGCATGCATTTAAAACTGCCATGAAAGCAATCCTATCTGGTGTAAGACTAGAACTAAGCATTTTATCAAACAACTCAATGGCTTGTTTTCCATATCCGTTCCGTCCATAGCCAATCATCATTGATGTCCATGAAACCAGATTTCTACTTGGCATTTCATTAAAAATTCTTCGGGAACTCAAAACATTCCCACATTTTGCATACATGTCTATCAAAGCATTATCCAGTTCCAAATTCGAAACAAGGCCTCTATGTATTATCCTCCCATGTACTTGTTCACCGCAACTAAGTGCTGCCAAATTAGAAACTGCAGCTACAATGCTGGAAAATGTGAAGGCATTGGGGCTTGGAGCTTCTGATTCCAAACAAGAATACAATTTGATGGACTCCTTCGGATAGGATTTCTCATACCCGGCTATCAGAGTGTTCCAGGTGATTATATCTCTTTGAGGCATGTAATGGAAACAGTGGTTCGCTTCGTTTAAGTTGTTTCCCCTGCAGTACATGTCTAAAATGGAGTTCATAACTGGCACGTTAAAATCAAATCCATGTTTGATTACTGCGGCATGGAGATGTTTTCCACATGAGCATGGGCTGATTGAAGTGCTGGCACTTATAGCTATTGAAAAAGTAAATGCATTTGGCATAACCCCCTCCTGTCCATTAAAAAACAAGTAAGAAAATCATGAATATGAAATTTGGTGAGAAATTAGGAAATGAGGAATGTGATGTTCACACACATGCACATATTTTTACCCTAAGGCATGAATAATCAATAAAAAAATACGGAGTAACAAGGAAATACCCTTAAAAGGGACTAAATTGTACTTCCTCCGGTTTTTATTATTTGAGTCACTAGGATTTTAATGGGTTCAAAGGAGAAAATTGTAAGGGTAGTAAATAGTAGGAGACAAAATGAAAATGTAGAAAAAATAGGAAAGAAAGACGAAAAGAGAGGTATATTTATGTGTTTCATATGAAAAACTCCCCAAGTTAAAAAGATGGAGCAAATAATAGAAAAAAAATGGAATACCATATTCCTTCAAACGAGACCAGTGGCGTGCTTACAAGAATTATACTGCAGGGGGCAAAAGCTTGATATTTGAGCATATGTTTTTATATTTATGTATATTTGTACTAGAAAAAAAATGGGGGGGGAGGTCCCTCCAGCCCCTTCCTGAATCCACTACTGAACGGGACTACCATTTTTTCCTTAAAAAATATGACTCATGACTCATCTACTTGGCTACTACTGAAATACTTTCTTTATCTACTTTTTACTCTCTTTTAGGATTAAACGAGTCAAATTTTTAGCACAATACAAGAAGTGAAGAATACTCTCATTTTTGCACAAGTGCACATGTTTTACTCTTATTTGCTATTATACTAATAACAATGCAGTGAATAATGGAGAACATACCAATATCATTTGCTTAAAAGTTTGAAGGCCACAATAACCATAGCCACGGTGAGTGTATCCGGCAATCATTGTTGTCCATGTCACGTCATTTTTCTCACTGATTTCACTAAACAGCTCACATGCCTCATCCATGGTTGTAAACAGCGTAGAGTAGATGTCCAAGAGTGCATTGGCAACGTACAAGCTTCCATGATTGCCGTGCTTGAGTGCCAACCCATGAACTAAAGCGCCACAAGAAGGTGACTTCATTCCTTTGCAAGCCTTCAATGTGCTCGAAAACGTGAACTCATTTGGTTGGACGCCGGCATCTCCCATCATCCCATAGAAAACAGACCACGCGCGTTGGTAGAGGTTGCAAGAAGTATACCCGGATATCATGGCCGTCCAAGCGACTACATCTCTGTGTGGCATTTCATCGAACAGTGCACAGGCTTCTTTTATGAGACCCTTTTCGAAGTAAGACTTGAGAAGATCGGTAGCCAAAAACGAAGCGGGTTTTGGGGAAAACCGGGAGCTGGGAAAATTCAAGTTCCATGACAAAGATTGTCGGACAGTTTGAGGAATGATATGGGACACGGTTTTGGACAGTGCTGTGCTGTTCATGTATTGGGCAGATTTGCATGGACTTGTGCATTTCCCTCTCTATTTTCTCATCTACACTCACACTCCAATCATCGTTCCACCGTCGTTTTTTTCATTCTATGTTTACTTTAATTTTTTTATTATCAAAAGCAATCATGTTTCCAAACAATTTTTTTTTAATTTAGGAACAATGATGTACGTATTACAATTTTGAGATTAAATTTTCATACTTTCAAAAGAAATTAATTATGTTTTTTTTTCTGTCTTAGTCCTTATTCATACACTTCTTTCTTTTCTTATTTGCTTCAACTTAACTTACAATAAAAAATTAATTTTTTTTCTTCAAAATAAATAGTTTTATATTTTATACATTTGTGTGATTTATATTTCAACATGTGTGAGTTGTGTTTATAGACAATTTCTGGAATTACATTTGATAGTATATGAAGTTTTCTTCTTATGCACGAGTTACATCTGTTTATACGTGAGTTACATCTTAATGTACTCGAGTTACATCATGAAATAAACCCTGCTAATGATCAAAAAAATGATTTTTTAACTATATCATTTTTATGATAAAAAAACTATATCGTTTTTTATAACCCTAATATTAAAAAACATATTCACTATTTACAAAAAGTAATTGGGCAAATTAAATAGGATCAATTTTTAACTGTTTACTTTGAAATCAATGTTGATAATATACATAAGTTTTCTTTTCTTTTCTTATATGTATTTATGTATATATAAGATGTTTACTTTTCAACTTTTCTAGAATTACATTTTAATGTACGCAAGTTACATCTTAATGTACGCGAGTTACACCACTAAATAAACCATGCTAATGATAAAAAAATTAACTAATTCAATTTTTATAGCCTTAATGTTAAAAATTCAAAACATATTCACTATTTATAAAAAGTAATTGGGCAATTAGGATCAATTTTTCATTGTTTACATTGAAATCAATGTTTTCTCCACTTACATTCCATTTTTGACAACTTACATATCAACTTGACTTAAGTTACATTTCCTATCAACGTGAGTTACATTTTTATAAACGGGAGTTACATCACACTGCTACTGAAACACAAATAAAAGTTACTGTTCATCTGCGGGTACTGTTCATCCGTGTTTTACCCCTGGGAGCATGATGCTCATTGTGCGCCGGTACCACGATATACGAAGTGCAAAATTCAGTTAATCTGTTAAGTCTACTTACTGACTTATGTCAAAGTCCACTAGGGTTTGTTGAGGTATAAAATCTTCAAAAACTAACCATTTCCTTAAAATCTTTTGAAAGATCTCTAATGCTTCCCAATCAATTTATACAATGGCGGAGACTGGGTGGTATATTGTGAATTTGTGGTGGATCGATGGAGAATATTTTTGTACGATTTTTTATACGATTTTTTTATCTTAATATTCCCTCCGTATTTAAAAGATCCTTATATTAGGTGTTAAAGATCCCTATCTAAAAGAGAATAGTAGAATAATGAATAATGTGGACAAAGTATGAGAGAGGGTAAAAAGGTAGAAAAGAGAAGATAAAAAGTAAGAAAAAGTAACGATAATTGAGTACTTTTAAAAGGAAAAATTTACTAAAAAGGTAAAATGTAACAAACTTTTAAATACATCCCAAATAGGAAAATATAACAAATTTCTAAATCTAAAATATTATAATGGTGAATGAAGGTAAGAGTACTTTTGGCATTAAAAATGTGTTGGTGTAATTATAAGCATATGTAAGCTTGTACTTTGACCTTAAATTATTATGCTTTAGTTTGTCCACCATTTTTAAGGCCGGCTGACCCCCCCCCCATTCCATTAGTGAACCAATCTACATAGTATTAGAGTTTGAATGCCTAACAGTCTTTACTCCGTCAAATAGATGAGTCTTTAGTCCGTCAAATAGATGCATCTTCAAGCAAGCACTATTTTATGGAGTACTGAGGAATATGAAATCATTCATGTTTAATTATATCTCACAATATAATTGGTATTTTACTTTTTTGTAGTGGCACATAAAAAAAGAATATGAAATCATTCATGTTCAATTATATCTCACAATACCAGCACGTTTCTATTTTTTTCCTTGCTTTAATTTTTTCCTTAGTCGTTAGACTTTTTTTGCTTAACAAATATACTACGGAGTACATAACAAGGTATTATGAGTATAAATGTCTTTTTTCCTTTCTTTCTCAAGCAAGAAATAGAAATAGTAGAACCGTCAACACTACTCTTTTAGTAAATTTTGAGCCCGTTTGAAAATACATAAATTGGTTGAATAGGCTAAATATATTGAAATTGATGAAATGCTGACTAATCCGCTAAATTGTATGAGTATGTTGCATTAAAGAAAGGTGATATTTAAAATATATATAAAATATCTAAAATTGTCCTCTATAGGAAGTTCAACTAATTCATTCAGAAAATAAATTTCAATCTTACCTATTATGATTATTGCACAATTAGGATGTTTTCTTTTGGACTGAAATTTACTGGTCTGGTCTGGTCTGAACTGGTCTGTTCGGGTAAACGTCTGGTCTCTGTGTATTTTATAACTACGGAAGTCTGATCTGGCCTGGGACCGAAAACAGTCCAAAAGAAAACATCCTTAACCACGGGAAATCAAAAGTTATGTATTTGGTAAAAACTTGACTGATAAGATTGATAAGCTGAAAAACGAGTTACCAAACGGGCTCTTAAATATTTTTGCGGAAGATGGGTGACCTAATTAGGAAACTCTACCTAACATTGGTACAAGAGAAAGTGGCGTGGTTACCAAGAAAAGTGAATTTTTATAGTTGATAATAACTTGATAAAGTGAAAATAAAGTAAGAATGTAATGATTTTGAATCATACAAATATTATCAAATTGGGTATGTAGTAAAAAGCTTGTGACAATCGTAGTAAGAGGACCAAAAAGGAAAGGTGAGACTTTCTTAAGTGGACGGAGGGAACAATTATTACTAAAATTGCTATAAGTGCATTTTATATTAGTAATGCAAATATTTTGAGCCTATTTCTTATTCTCTATTTTTGACTTATCAGACTAATCGAAAACTCCGGTAACTTTTTATGAAATATGCAATTTTTTATGTCACATGATGAATTGGCTAAGAAAGGAAGGTAAGATTGACGTGTCAAGTAATATTTTTTAAGTTGATACAAATGTTAACGTGCCAAATACTAAAAGTAATTATATCGAATCAACATATAATGTACATATTTTCAAGAAAAATATCATTGGGCATTTCATTCGATCGCGCAAAGCGTGTGAAGAAAACTAGTTTAAATATAGAGGGATCGGAGTAATTTAAATAAAATAAAGATTTGGGGTGGGTAGGGGAGGGGAGTCGAGGACTATGGATGTTTTTACTTGGACTGTAATTTGTCCCAGACCAGACCAGACCAGACCAGTCCAGACCAGACCAGACCAGTTCAGACCAGACCAGACCAGACCAGACTTGGATAGTTATAAAAATACAAAGAAACCAGACCTTACCAGACCAGACCAGACCAGTTCAGACCAGACCAGACCAGATCAGACCAGACCAGACCAGACCAGCAAATTACAGTCCAAGTAAAAACATCCTATGTTGCCCCCTTAGCTACGCCTTGTAGACAAGAATTGAGTGATTCACTCTTTTAATCGATTTTTTTTACAGTTTAGCACCATCAATATACTCAAACAATGAAACAATATACCAGTATTTTTTTTTTTACTGGCTTCGTCCGAAATTAAGGATGTTTGCTTTTGGACTGTTTTCAGTCCCAGACCAGATCAAACCAGACTTCTGTAGTTATAAAATACACATAGACCAGACATTTACTGGATCAGACTTGACCAGGCCAGACCTGACCAGCAAATTTCAGTCTAAAAGAAAACATCCTAACTTCTCACTTTCCTTTTTGGGATATTCCCAATTGAAGTTCTCGCTTCAACTTATTTCTATAAATGGTAAGTTTTTATTATTCACTTGCCATATATTTTACCCTCAAATCACTTCATTGAATTAATGTGTGTTACCCTCATTTCCCATTTGATTACTACACATTTTAATTACCCAAGGACATTTTTGAAAAGCCAACTTTATTTCATATTCTATCTAAAAAATCGTGAAGACAAACTAGGAACTTGATTTGAAGACGGAGAGAGTAGATAAATTATTGCTTTCATTATAATTTTTGGCAATATTTTTACAAATAAATATGATTAAGAGTTTGATAATACTTTTAAGGTTGATAATAACAAATCAGGGGAGGGTTCTCCTGGGAACCTCTCTTAAAATGAGAACCCATTTTAAATAAGAATTTTTAATCTCCATCATTAATTTTTATCATCAATGACTAATAATAACAGGGTGACATTTTTGTAAATATTTAGGATTAATGGCAATAAAGCCTCATTTGAATTTGGAGTAATTATGAAAATGACATCATGTGAATCATAACTAATGATTGCAATAAACGAAAGATTGTGATTAAAAGTTCTCATTGTTAGGAGTTCTCATTTTATGAGGGGTTCTCACTAGAACCCTCCTTTATCAAATCAAACTCACATAATATATAATAAGAATCAGATGGTTTCTTCCAAACATGAGCTCAATTAACTTTTACCCATGTTAAGACAGATATTGTGTATCACTAACCACAAGCTAACTACGTCAATATATCAAATTTCACACTAATTTGTAAGGATACACTCGGTCTATTCAATTTTTACTGCAATCCAGCAGTCAACATATTCACTCTGCATGTTTTTAATTAAAGTCTTACATTTATTATCATACATTAATTTTCCCCCAATTATTAGCAAATAATTATGAGTTAAAAAGTTAAACATGCATTTCAATGTAAAAATAAATAAATATAGAGTTTAATTTTAATCTAGTTACTTCAGAGCTATTTTCAAATAAAAATAATTGAAAGATGTAAGAAAATATTTTAATTATGTGATCTTAATTTTATCACTTGAATGTATTTAAGAAAAAAATTGGATTTAAAAACCTTCATCAGTTGAAACTTCAGATTTTCCCTTATAACTTTTTTGTAAAAAAGTTATAACATTTTAAATAAAATTAGAATTTATATTGTCAATGGGACCCATTTTATTCTTTAACGCGGCTACTTTCTCTCCTTTCATCGAGCGAATAG